CCCCCTGAAACCCCCCTACTCTTGGGGCCAAATCCGGCGAATAACAAATGCGGGGTGGGAACTACCGAAAAAGCGCCCTTATTTGACCTACATCTAGATTAGATCTATCTCTAGATCTCTACGTTTGATTCGCGGTGAGCTAAGATATCAAACCTTAAAACATTAAATTATGGTAAAATTCAGGGGGGCATGCCCCCCTGAAACCCCCCTTCCTATTTTTATTAGGTCAGGGGGGCAAGCCCCCCTGAGACCCCCCTACTCTTGGGGCCAAAACCCGTGAATAACAATTGCGGGGGGGGAACTACCGAAAAAGCACCGTGGAGTCCACTTATAACGAGTCCTGAAACAACAAGAAGTCTGTTATAAAGACATCATTCTAAAACCCCGTTTTTTTTCCCTTCTTTATCTTTGTAAATAAAATACTGCTATTGCGCAATCACATAAACGCGCGAGTCGGTTATAGCGGAATATAGCTGCTGCTGTGCACAGTGAATAGGCCATTTATTCAAGCAAAACCTCGCCAGTTGAGAAACTTGTTGGTTATCAAGCGAAACGAAGAAAGGGAGTGCCCATGTGTGCCAACGATGAAGGCCTGAGTGAATGAGTGGGGAGTGTGTGGCACGCGCAGACACACCGTTGTGAAGCAGAACGCATTGCCTGATAGTGATAGGCCAGCCTAGTCTAGATTATCTAGGCTTAGGTATTCTATCGTGCCTCTCACTTCTCCGATGCGGGGATGGAGAGAGGTCACAGTGCTGTGATTGATCATAGAGTATAGAGCGAATGTGTGACGTGCGCAAGCAGACGCGGGAGCGCGCCACAGGGTGTGGTTGGGTGGGGGGAAAACACAGCGGGCGAGTTAGCCTAGAGAACTTTCGTTCTGATAGCCAACGCCGAGCTGTCAACATCGCTAACGCTAGAGTAAGAAACCTGATTCAATTTTTGATCAAGTAAGACCTAGAGGTCATGTTGAACAAAGCCATCATCGGAGGAGATGACAAAAAGAAATAAACAGAACACCAAACTCATAGATTAGGCCTGCTTTATTATTTCCTTTGAATTTATTACTGGATCCCTTACAACGAGAATCCTGCTATAACGGACATTTCGTACCGGTCCCCTCCCTCTCGTTATACAGGATTCCACTGTACAAATTTTATGGACAGCGAACTATTTTTTATTATGGTCCTCTGATGTGGAGTGACGTACCCAGATAGCCTATATATAACAGAGACTAGAGTTCCCTGGCAATGTTTGTTTGTTTGTTTAGTATAGGGTTTTACGGCGCTCGCAACTGCATAAGGTCATATCAGCGCGCGGGACACACCTAATACTTTTTCGTTGGAAGGAAATTTTGAATTTTGCCCGGGTGGCGGCCGAAGCCTACTCTTCTTATCGATTTTAGACCACCAAGGGATCTTTAACGTGCGCAACTTGCACACGGGCCCTCCGAGATTTTTCGCCCTTGTCCGAGAAGGCTAGGTGTAGATCTTTCCTACCAGAAGATCAGGGGTGTGGCAGAAAGACAGCAGTTAGGAGGAGCCAAGGAGTAGCAGTAGAAAGGCTGCAGAAAGAGTCAGGAGCCCAGAGGAGGGGGCAAAGGAGGTGAGGGGGTGGGGGCAGAAAGTGGAAATGAAAGCAGACAACAGAACATTGTTAGAGATCAGGAAAGGATGTGAAAGGAGACAATTTTAGAGAAGAAAATTTTTTGGTCGCTACCCGGAATCGAACCCGGGACCTTTGAATGAGAGGCCAACACCTTAACCTCTAGGCCATGAGAGCCTCCCTGGCAATGTGAATCATTAATAATTTATTATAATTATAGATATAGATATAGATCTAGAGTAGAGTCTAGACTAGAATCTAGATCTAATCTAGATCTAGATCTAGTAGTAGTAGCCTACTGTTGTGTGCGATTTTGAGGAAAGCAAAAATTCTTCGAAGCGTGAGCTCGCTATTCATGCCATTCGAATACCTCTTTCGAATGTTTTTATCTTGTGTATGATAAGCCAAGACCTAACATCCGCTAGTCAACATTCACTAACTCACAGCGCACCGGCAGTGGAATTTTAGTTGCCGCGGGGGGTTCCCCGCGGGCGCCTTATCACGTCGGGGTCACGGGGGTCAGCT